GTGTACATATACATATACATATAGGCGTATCACAACGCATAAATACATCGACGCGCATTCGCAATTTTTTCTCCCCGATCCCTCGTATTTCGATATTTATTTCCTCTGGCCGATGTTTTCGTCGTTGTGTATCGCGGATTCGTATAATCTTTCGTCTTTTTCGCAGCTACGATCGCGATAGAAACCTGGCAGTCGTAACGAGAAAACCGGCCGCGACGATTTATCGGAAAGAGGAGACAACCGTGTGCGGTTTGAGGGAAAAAAATAAAAGGGAAGAGAAAGTGGAGGGGGAAGGAAACATATGCCTTTGTTGTTACAGGCTTTGCCCGTCGAAATACTACACCGTTTTGCTACTTTTTCCGATCGAAGTCCTTGTCCCTGACTAAACGCAACCACCATCTTTGCGCTCTTACCGTTTCTCCCCGTGTGTCTCCTCCGTGGTTAATTCGCGATTCCTCGAATAATTCGTAGGAAACGACTCGCGTCAGTTCTCGGCGAATCGGCGAAAAGCCAGCGGAATAAACGGTCTAGCGAGGAATTAAAGGGCGAGGAACGGTTGGGAAGAGAGGAGGACGGAGACGCGACGGTGGTATACGGGGAGGATAAGACGGAGAGCAAAGGTGCCGCGGTAAGTTCAGCGGGAACACCTGCGTCGGAGACGAAGCAGCGTTGATAATCCGCCTTATCCTAAAACAGGATCGACCGTGAGATTCCGTAGGCGTGTCAGGACATCTTACGGGTCTCGTTAGACCTGCTGCATAACCAGTGTCTTCCTTATATCGTATTAACCACGTTCGCTTTCCCTTCCTTCTACTACGTTTCCTCGTTTCGGTTCTCACCCAATGCTACTCCCGAGACCGAGAAAGATATTCGAGAAAGATGCTAGAAAGAGGGACGTAATATCCGCGCTCGTGATCTACCTTTAGTTCATATCACGTTTAGCACGAGGCAGACCAACCAACACCTCTGTTTTTCCTTCTCCGCACTTTTCACTTCGTTTCTTCCATTGTATCCTAACCCCTTCTCTCTCTCTCTCTCTCTCTCTCTCTCCCCCTTTCTCTATCTCTGCTTCTCTCCCCTCTTCACCCCACCCCACCTTGTTTCTTTCTCCTCCTTTTTTTTTTATCCGACTCCTGACATCCGGAGAATCGACGAGCTTGAGGTTAAGGTGGGACGATAAGCCAGTGAAAAATGAAAAACCTGTTCCTCTTCCTGTGTTGGGATGAGACGGTGGTCATTACATGCCCGAGCGCACACGGAGGTCTCAAATATAGGTACCTGCCACTGGCCGTGAGTATCACGAGAAGCTATTCGAAGGATACGAGAAAAACCTCGAGTCGACCGGAAGCTAGTATCCCGATAGACCACCTTATACAGGGAACGACGAGCGCTCGTGTACTGTTTAAAATAAAACCGCGCGGAAAAAGGTTTATCGGAGTTATGCGAGAACTTTTTACTCGAAAGAATTAACCGTTTTGACCGCTTCGTATCGACTCGTCTCTTCGTCTTCGGAGTACGCACGCGTATATACGCGGAGAAGAGCACGACTCGACCGAATCTAAAATGCGCGCTTTTCATCGCGATTAGAACGAAAAAGCAGTCGTGGACGAGGCAAATTTTCGAAACGAACCGATTTACGACGTTTCCTCCTTTACGAAAGTCCATTGCTATTCCAACGAGAGATACCGATTAATTTCAGCCACGACGTTTTTTTTAAACGTTGTCTATTCCGGTTGCCATATTCAGGTGCACGTTGTACGGTAGCGGTTTTAGCGTCGATTTAACTTTTTTCTAAATATTTACGCGTTTCGATGCCGCGCCACGCGACAACTAGTTTAATTGTTCGCAGATCAACGAGAAAATTGTGGGTAATAAATTTTCAAACGGCAAACGGATTTAAAAGACGGAAGCACTCCTCCGCGATGCTGGGAAGAGAGCAACGTGGATGAATTAGCGGGTTTTATTGCAGCGTAAAAAACGAGGAAATCCAAGGAGACGCGACTTTGACAGGACCGAGCGATGGACGCGTTAAAATTCTTAAAGGATACTAAACTATACCGAGGCATACGGCGTACAGAGAGGAAAGGAGACAGGAACGAACTGTGGAGAGGATCGTGGGAAAAAGGAGGGTTGAGGCTCGACAGTGTGACGGGAACGTTTCGACGACGACGACGACGACGACGACGACGACGACGACGACGACGAGACGCGTGGAAGGAGGGAGGATTAGAAAAGAGCGTAAAATCGCGGTGTCGGGGCAAGACGGGGGAGGAGAATAAAGAGGTTGGAAGGAAACGGAAGGAAAGAAAATAAGGAGGAAAGACTTGGAAGGAAGGCGGATCGGCGGGGAGGTATTTATCGGAATATTTACGAGGAGTCGGACTCGGCTGACGCGTCCCCACCCGAAAGATGTTGGTCGGTGCACGTGTCTGCACGCACCTTTGGCCGTGCGTGTTCGTTCGTTTATGCGTGTATCCGCGTGCTTACGGTGAGACGTGGCAACGCAGGTTGGAATGCAGTTTAGGAACGCGAGAGTCGCCCACGAGGCCAGCTCCCCTTCCCCTTCTGAAGGCCTTCTTACAGGAAGAAACCGAGGCTGAGGGGAAGCTCGCTGCTACCAGGAAGGAACTCGTTGGAATTCCCTTGACTCGCCTTCCTTCTTCTCGTCTACGGCTCTCCGCTTCTTCTTCTTCTTCTTCTTCTTCTTCCTTCTTCTCCTTCTCTTCCTCCTCTTCCTCCTCTTCCTCCTCTTCGTCTTATTCTTATTCCCTTGCTTCTTTTTCACTTGCTTCTTTTTCTTCTGCTCGTCGTCATCGCCGTGGTCGTCGTGGTCGTCGCGGTCGTCGCGGTCGTCGCGGTCGTCGGTGTCCCCCTGTTGCTGCTTCTCCACCTCTTGGCCTTTTCCCGTTCGCGTCTTTTCAGAGAACAATTTCTAACGCGTCTATGTACGCGCGTAGTAGCCAGGTTTAAACGACGCTGTCGGCGTTTATTCGCGGTGACCGTTTACCGATATCCGCATACGTTTTATATAACGTAGATATCGCGTACAAAGGATCGGAGTAAAAGCGCGTGTCGCGCTTTAGGTAGTTTATAGAGTGGATTAGGTGGATCGTAAGCCGGAGAGTAGAGATATTGGATCGGCGAATACGGTGAAATCCGCGGTTGACGGTATATCGGTTGTAGCGCGTAGCAGAAGAAGTAGGATGGCACGGAGAAGAAGAGGAGAGCGAGTGGACTCGGAGCGGCTTCGTCGGGTGGACGAAGTCAACGGCGAAAATAACGGAGCCTGGTACCGACGATGAGAAAGGAGAAGGAGGAGGTCACGGCTACCTGGAAAGAACATCGATGGAATGTCTCCCTTTCCTTATTTTTCTTCGCGCGTAGTTTCGAGGGAGGATGATCGTGGCGTTTGTTCCCGGAAAACGCGCGTTCGAGGAATCGTATGGCGCGTATAAAAAAGCCAACGTACGATCGATCGTGGTCGACTCGTGGTCGGGTAGTTATCGCGAATTGTGGGTCACGTGCACATCCGAGTACATACCGGTATAGAGGCGTGAAAGTTTTTCCTATGCTAACGCGCGAGATTTCTCCTTTGTAAACGAAACGTAAACGCGCGCGCGACGTTGCGTCGCGGCGGATTCCATCGTTCGCTCCGCTCCGTCCTCCGTATCGCCGATCGATTTTGCCGCGATCGCGTAGCCGAGTTTGCACCCGCGAGTGGAATATCGCGGAGGAAATATGGCGGAGAGGAGCTGACGGCGATAGAAAGCGCGCGGAGCGGGGCGCGAGGCGAGAGGCGCGAGACGCGAGACGCTAGGCGCGAGGACGGTGTGTATCGCTGGTAGAGATGACGTAATCGGACAAGAGGTCTCTTAATTGGCTCGGCGTCTAGCGCGTTAGGATCAATTGTCGACGTAATGCGAGGCAGAACGGTGGAGAGTAACGCAGCGTGACGAAGCGCGAGGCAGCTAACGCCGACGCAGCTTCCCACACTGCGCGGATCCCGGTGGATGGCGTGTGTGGAGAACGGCGCCTTCCAGCGGCTTCCGACGTAACAGGTACTTTGGATCGGTCTTGCTCGTACCTACAGCTTCTCGAATTACTTCGCCATACGATCTGCTCCCGCCGTCCACCCGTTTACATTTGTACGACAAATTTCTTCCTTTTGCCGCGCCGCGGCGTCCCCCGCGGTTCCCGTTCGAGGAATTCGGTGCTCCGCGAGCGCGTATACCCGACCGACGATGACGCCAACCGTTTGCCACTCGAACATCGTGTCACGCGATATCCGATGGCCAGACAACCAGTATTTCCCATCCGTCTTTCCCATTGCAGACGGAAGGAGGAAAAAGACCCGTACGCGTTCGTCACCGCGTTGAATCATCGGCGAATCGTTCGCTTCGAACGCCGCGTATTTCCTTCGTTTCAAGGAGAGGCCGAAAGAGGAGAAGGGAGAGACTTCGAAAAACGCGATTTACGACAAATTCGAACCTTGACTTTTCGTTTACCTCTTCGCTATAACCGTGGACCGTGCGTCGCGAATTTATTCGCGAAAGGATTCAACGCGTCGCGAGATATTCCATCGCGATCCGCGATAATCGTTATCCTTTCCGCGCAGAGGATCCGGGTAGCAGAGGCTGCAGAGTTTCCTACAGCCTAAAAGGTATATGTAATACGATGGCAGACGAGGAGCTAATGCGCCGAGTCGAACGAACTTCCGGGTCTTCGGCGACCCTCGTTTGTCTCGGAAGCCAAAGAAGTCGCAAGGAGCCGTTACGTAGTGGCATCGAGGCATTAAGGCATCAAGGCGTTCGAGCCTCTCCATTCCCGTCTACAGTACACACACCTTTGTATCGTCGCGGGAAAAATAACTCGATCCTCTTCGCCCCTTTCCTACCCTTTTCTTCCCACTCCTTCCACGCTTTCAAAAGTCCCCGCTC